TTCAATTATTTGAATTCATCATATCTCAAAGTGATTTTAATTATAATTCATTCAAAAACTATCTTCTTCCAAATTTATTACTCCCAAATACAAGGAAGGGCTTCCTCACCCTCACCTCCCTTTCCCCTCTAACAACATACCTCCAAAGCTTTCCCCTCTCCTTCCCTCCAAACTCTCAAACATACCCTTAGGGTATGTTTGAGAGTTAATTTTGAAGGGGAGGGGATGATTGAGAAGAGTTCATGATCCTTTCTTTCATGTTTGGAAGTTAAAAAATATGAAGGAGATGGTTTAGGAGGGCTTTTGTAACCCTCCAAAACCCTTGAAATGCTCAATTTTCAAGTTTTCCAATTTGGGTGATTTTGAAAGATAACTAATTAAATGACAACTTTAGCTCAATTTTTAAATAAATATAAATTCAACTATTTGAATTCTTCATTGAAGTGATTTTAATAACAATTCATCCAAAACCCCTATCTTTTCAAACTTGTTACTACCAAACAAGAAGGGTTTCCAACCTTTTTTCTTCTCTTCCAATGACTAACCCTGAAAACTTTTTCCTCCCCTTCCCTTCAAACTCTCAAACATACCCTTAAGGTGTTTTTGGGATTTAGTTTTTAGGAGGGAAGCAAAGAAGACATGTGAGGATTGTTGACCCTCCAATTTGTGTTTGGGAGTTGTTTAAAGGAATGATTTTGTAAGGTTTTTGTGATCCTTCAAAACCCTTCGAATGTTCAATTTCTTCCAAAATGGAGGATTTTTAAGGATGACTAATCAAATGATAATATAAGTTCCAAATAAATATCATTTCAATGATTTGAATTCATTGTATCTTAGAAGTGATTATAATTATAATTTCTTTTAAGATCTTATTTCCAAATTTACTACTCCCATATAAGGAAAATGGTTTCCTCACGTTCTTTTCTTTTTTCTCCTCCAACAATTTACCTTCAAAGCCTTGTCCTCTCTTTCATCCAAACTTTCTCATACCCTTTGGGAGTTTGAGGGAGGGGAAAGAGAAAGATTTGAAGGTTCTACATGAGAGGGGAAGGGGAGGGAAGTGAAAGAAACCCTTGTTTTTGTTTGGGAGTTATAAATTTGAAAAGATGGGGACTACTGAAAATTACAATTACAACTGCTTAAAATATCTATGGAATTCAAATAGTTGAACTTGTATTCATTTTAGATAGAACTAGAGTTATCATTTATTTTGTTATCTTAAGAATCTTTAAATTTGGGAAACTTAATGAATGACCATTTGAAAAGTTTTGGAAGATTATAAAAACTCTCCAAAATCATCCCTCCAATTTTTAAACTCCCAAACACAAAAAGAAGGGTTATCAACCCTCACATGTCTTCCTCTCCTCCAAAAACCAACTCCCGAAATTCTTCAAACAATTGTTTTTCTACTAAATGATGATGATGTCTTTTGTTTCAGAATTTCATGAAAAGGCTTGAAATGTTATAAAGAGCTAATAAGATTTAAACTTTCAAATAGATTGAGATTTGAGGGGCAAGTATATATCATCAATTTTCATGAGACACATGAATACAAATGAGCAACAACGTTTGGTCGTACTTGGTTGATCACTTGATTGTAGCCTCTATTCTGTCATCTTGCTAATTTTTTTTATCGTCTGATTGTTTTAATACCAGTATAATTGTGAATCGGCACTATTATACAGTCTCTAAAGCTCAATATCCTTGTTACTTTGGTAGTTCTTTATCTTGTACACATGCATCTTAGCATTCGTTTTTTCATTAAAAAATTCATTTCTTTTTATATGTGTTTCCTTACATTGTGTGCTTGTTCTTAACTTATAGTTATTCTCATTTCTCACTTCTTAGTAATCTTCCCAAGAAGTTCTTTGTACCAACAGCAAAGAGTTAAGTTACACATTGCATCTAATAGGAAAAACACCAATATGAGATAAATTACAGCCACGCAGGAGTGTCGCATTGTAAGCACATTTTGTGCAACTTCAAGTATAGAATTGATGTAATTCAGGTTCTATGTATATGTAACTCATGCAATATTTTATGTAAATGCTGCGGTAAAAGATGTAAATATGTAACCAAATGTCTAAGTGGCAATAATAATATATGTAGTGTATATTAGGTGTAAATGTAATGCATTAATTGTAAATGATATTATGAATGTTTTAAGAACGTGTGATTAACTTGCAGATGTAACATTATGTATTGATACAAAAGCTCAATGTTTGGTGTAATAAATTCTATAAAAAAAATAACACTACAACATTTCAACCCCTAATGTATCACCCAAAAGTGTTACAACATCACTGAAAAGTGTTACATTAAACAAAATGTAACACTTTTTTACCATTGCATTTGCTCATGCTGCATTTGACCTATTGTAACACTTTATGGTCCCCAATGTAACATTTATACTTGCAGAAAGTGTTACACTAAGTCTAGAAAGTGTTACATTTGAGAAATATGTAAAACTTATATAGATATGTTACATCTTTAATATTAAGTTAGGCCTAAAAATGTAGAAGTGTAAAATGCGTGTGTAAAGCATTTAAGTTTCGTTACACAAAATGGAAATTGTGCATGCAATATGTAAGTCATGTTATACAAAATATAAATTGTGTTTTTCAAATGTGTAAGTTACGTTATGAGTAGAAAATTGAAACTGTGTACGTAATATGTAAGTGTAGAGTATTTTTTATTTATCTTATGGAACACGGTTAACTTTGTTAGAATTCAAATATGAATTACATGTACTGGAAAAAATAAGGTTGGCTTTTAAATATAAATATGAATTTTTATTTTACATTAGGTTTGAATTGATAGAGAAGAAAAATCTTTAGATTTATTTGTAATTCAATTTGAAGATGAATAACAAAATCCTAGTGAGATACTTAGATTATTACATAGTAATATTTTGAAGAAGAAAAGGACAATTGAAGAAGAAGAAAATCAAATGAATTGAGGAAAGAAATGGCAGATTAGATCGGGGAAGAGAAACAGATCTAAAGACTCCTTTAAATTGGGGAGTTTTTAAACACTCCTTTCATCTCGCTAAGGTTTTGTATTATATTTCTTTTTTGTTTTTTCATTGTTTTATACCAAATTTGGTAATTTTTGTGTGATTTAAATTCATTCTTACTTTATTTTCATTTTATTAATTCAATATTAACCATAGAAACTCACTTGTTCCGTAACCGCACCACCTTTTCTTGTACCTATGCTAGGGGGACAAAGGTAGTATAAACTACATCGTATAGGAAAAACACATCATGCATACAGAGTAACGATCACACAATATGACTTGTGAATTGGTACATTTGCTGCTGCGAGAAAAGCTTGTTAGATGTATACCTCCAAAAATGAAATAAAATAGTCACACAACACTTTATTAATGATGTAGTTATCATTTATACACGTTTTAGGCTGACGTTATTGATGGTTTTGGATATTTCTGAGTATATTTTGATTTTTGATTAGTTTCAAATTTTACAGATCATATACGCGTGTTTGTATTTTGAATACAATGAACTTGTACAAAATGAGAAGAGAAAAAATCTCAAACTCATATCTAAGAAAAGAAGAGATAGTTCGTCACGAAGGCAAAAATGAAAAGAGAAATCAAGAAAAGTTTGGAAGATTCAAACCTAGCTCAGAAAAGAACACAAGACAATCATCAACCATTCAAGCTACCAAAGTAATGTGTACAATATGTCAATATTCGTAAAAACACTATTCTTATCTCTTCATTTCTCATCTCGAAGTCATTAACTAAACCTAAGTCATCATTAATCACTTTTATCTTCAATAGAATAAGTATAATATTATCAACATAGGTTCAAGAAACGTCATTCATCACAAGTTTGATCTTCCTAATCTCTTTAAGTCTTGGTATTTAACGTAACATAACTACATAAATTTGAGGTTAGAAATTGGTTAAATAGGTGTTATCATATTTTAATTTGTAATGACTTTGAATTGTTAAGTTTATTCAATTTAGATAAATTATATTGGTGTGTTGAAAATATAAATAGATTGTGTTTGAATTGTTAAGTTTATTCAATTTAGATATATTATGAATAATCAATCATTAGACTTCTTTTACTTTGTTCCGGAACGAAATTTATCGGGACAAGTTAATTATAATAGTTGCACCACGAAGTTGAGTAAGTAATTAATATAATGAATAATTAAGGTCATCATAACACTTAACTAATTAGTCTCATTTTGACGTCACATCTAAAATGTTAACTAGTGTTGACTAGTTACTTATTTTATTTAACTTGTGTTGGGTTCTAAAAATATTAATTGCAACTTTTCAATGTATTTATGAATAAAATTAACAATCACATCTTTCAAATTAATATTGAACGATTAATATTGAACAATTAATATTGAACAATTAATTGTCGTTCAACTTTTTGTATTGTAAAAATAAAATTTTATTATCATAACTTGTATTTCATTTCTTTTACCAAAAAAAATTAAAAGAAATGCATTCCGAACTCATATAATTAATATTACTTTGTGCTTGGGTTTTGATAACAATCTTTTGACCTGCTAATGTTGCTTCCTAGAGCTTCTATGATGCCCAAAGCCCCTTACTAAAAAAAATAGCACTAGTCTTATATAATTAATAGAAAATATTTCACTTTCTTTCCAAGATCTAGACATTCTGTCTGATATTATGAATAAAATAACTAAACATTCATTGTACCATGGAAAGAATAGATAATTTTTATTTTTTAATTCTTATGTGTCTATTCGTTTCAATGGGACCAAGAGCGTACGCACTCTATGCCCCTAGGGGTGGACCTAATTCCGATTTTAGAATCAAATCAGAGTCGAGCAGGTAGAACACCAGACCAGTTGCCCGGATTTTTGTTCAAGACCTGAACTGGTATCCAAAACAAGTATAATCTGGCTTTATAACAGGAATCAAAATTGGGTTGGAATCAAAACTGGATCTTCCAATTACAGTTCCTATTCCTCAAAACCAGACCTGGACTGGGTCCACCCAGTTGCCACTAAACACTACCATTATCACAATATATCACTCCATATAGTCCATACACAACAAAATTAAGTTGTGTTCACAACATATACAAAAACACTGTTTTTCATTTTCCCTTTTATGATCCCATAAAAAAGAAACAATGAATTGCTAGTTTTTAAGTTCAATACATCCGTGGAATCAAAGTACTGTATCAAACTGAAGTCCATCCTCTTGGGGCAACATTAGGCTTCAAGAGTTCAAGGCCCCTGGCCTTTCATCATATTACTACTCTGCATTGGGTATTTTATTTTTCACGTGTAGTATCTTTATATCTAGTGTAACAAAAAGAGCAGACTGTACAACAGCAGCTGTGGTACTATCCTAATTATCTACCTGTATTTGGATGTACAAGACTTGTAATTTACGCAGACGTTAGCGAGGTGTGATGGGGAATGTAACACCACTGATAAGTTCGCTTCCTAAAATATCGGAGGATCCAGTATGATCTTTCCTGATATCAGAAAATCTTGATGACAACAATCCATCCGACTTCTTGCTAGATTTTGGCAAATCATCTTCTTCTTCTGGCATCATGGCAAGTATGGCCTCAAGCTCCCGGACCACATCAAGCATACACGGCCTTTCTACCTGATTGTCATGGCAACACTTTAGTGCCAATGCTAAAAACCTTTCTGCACATTCTGATGGGTAAGGGCCCATTCTGCTGTCCAGAATAGAGAATATCTTTCCAGATTGATGGGCCATGTTGACCTGAGATTGAATATTTTCTATATCATTAATTTGGCACCTTATGTTTTTTCTCTTGTCTCATGTAATAAATAGCTTGGCATCTGATTTCAATGCTTTTAGGAGGTTGGTCACTCGGTCTCAGTTCTGGACCTGGACTGGACTGGCCGGTTTTTTGGTTATAGCTCTAACCATTTTTACTATTCCAATCTGGATCTAGTACTGGGAACCGGTCAAAATCCAGTCCGATTCCTCCAAAACAGGACCCAACAGTTCCGGTAATGATTTTTTAAATAGGCTAAGAAACTGGGCAGGAACTGTCAGTTCCATCCAACCCGTACCAGACCGGTATTACCATTTTTGGTTAAGGACTGTACCTAAAAAGGATCTGGGACCCCTGTTTGGAACCAGGACTGGAACTGGACAGAGCCTACCCCTGGTTACAAAGGCGAGCAAATGCAGAAGTAAAAACAAGGCATTAAGCAGTGTAGCATGAAATACCTCGCGGACAATATTTTTACCATGCGATATTGGACGCATGCCTGTCAACATCTCCAAAAATACTACTCCAAGGCTGTACACGTCACTTTTGTCGGTCATCTTGCGTGTCAGGCAATATTCAGGGTCGAGGTAACCCTGCACAACCAAATACGTAGTTTCATGGGAAATAAAGAGTGTACAACAAGAGTGTCTGTTTTGTGTTCATATACGTCCTTGATGAAGAGAGTTGAAACTTACAGGTGTTCCCCTGACAATGGTGGATACATGGTTGGGTAACATCCCTTCATCATTTAGGACAGGGGCAAGCCGTGACAAACCAAAATCAGCAACTTTAGCAGTGAGTGTAGAGTCTAGGAGTATGTTACTAGCTTTAATATCTCTGTGGAATATTGGAGGGTAAACTTCCGTGTGGAGGTATAGAATACCCTTTGCTGCACCAAGCGCTATATGTAATCTTGCTCGAAACATCAAAGTTTGATTGCATTTAGCTGTGTACATTAGAAAAAAGTAAACCCCTTGGAAGGTAAAATTAAACCCCCACTTGTAGCATTCATGTGGATCGAGGATTTGGTCTCCTCCCTATGCCAATATGGAAAATACTGTTCACAATGGCTGTGTTTGGATCCCAGAAAATGTGATGGAAAGGAAAGAAAATGCCAAAGAAAGATATTTCCTTGTGCTGTTTTTACCTCAGAAAGTACAAAGGAAAATGGGACGTAGTTAATGTTTTTAGTTTTTTCATGGGAATGTTTGACAATATTGGGTAACTCAGCTATTTGATAATTGCGGATTGTGTTGCATGTATTTAACAGTGGTTGATATTAGCACTTTCAATGTTTGGTAAATAATCCAATTAGGGTTAGCTGATATCGTGTAAAATGAACAAAAATGATATAAGTTTATACATAGTATATACTTCATTTATATTCTAAAATCATTACTTTTTTTTTATTCTAAAACTATTACTTGTTAGATAAGTTCATAAATTTTATTTTTATTTTATAAAATTACCCTTTTCATTTTGTTATGATTACTACTACCTCCGTCCCAAAAAACTTTGTCATTTTCAAAACTTTGACCAACTATATCTTTTTATTGGAAATTAATTACAATATAAAAATTATATGAAAATGCTCTTTGTTAAAAGTATTTTCATAAAAGTAAAATTTATAACTTCCATAATATTATACTAATGAAAATCATGGTTCAATTTTTTTGAAATAGCGAAGTGTTTTGGGATGGAGGTAGTATTATTATTGTTGTTATTATTTTCAATTACAATACATTTATTTTTTATTCATTTATATTATTTGGTAACAATAACATACTACTCTTTTTTATATCATAGTTTTACTATGTATTATTTTTTAAAAATAATACTAATAATGATAAGGGACAACAACAATGGCAATAGTTGTTGATGATGTTGGTGTTGTTATTTTTATTACATTGCTATTGTTATTGTATTACTTTTACTTTTTTAACTATAAAATAGTTAACGAGAGGGGGTAAGCTTAGAGGATAAGTTAGACCTATAAAAATAAAACAAATAGCCTAATATATATCAAAGTGGCTTTACCATTTTTTGGCTGATTTACAAACATAAACTTTTTTAGTTTCAACAAACACAATATTTCTTCAACATTTTCTTCCTCCCAAAGTTTATTCTACAATTTCCCCTAACATTTTCCGGGATCCAAACATAGTCTTTTCTAACAGAGAATAAAACAGTCCATATGTAACTATTTCTCTCGTATCTTTTAATCCTGTTGAAATTTGTAAAAATCTAGTGCTTCATTTTCTCATTTCAAGTAATTCACTCGCACATCACAAGTTTTACGAAATCAGTTTATAGTCATTGTAATTTAATTAGTAGAGGAGATGAAATGACAACTTTCGGGAACTTACAAAAATAATCATCATTATAACACAGTAATATAGAGCAGACTAGAAAACAAATATGTACTGTTTATTTACCAGAAAGCCATTCTTGCAGTGTGCCATTGGGCATAAACTCATAAACCAGCATCTGCAAATCCACGAATAAGACACTGAGAATTAACTTCATCTTATGATGCATGTATTTTGTGCAGGAAATTGTAACGTTTGAAGTCAGCAAATGAAAGACCAAGAGGTTTCGTGATTTCATTAGAGACCGCACATATAACTCCTCCAAATTCATCCTTCTCATAACTCATAATGGACACAAGTGTTTTCCACCTTTTGTCCTCTAACCATTGTAATTTGTGACAATGATACTTTCGGTACCCATCTTTTAACTTTTTTCAATTTCAGTCACCTTTTGTAATAGAAACACTTTTGGTACCTGCTTTTTAACCTTTTCACTCAAGTCCCCTAACGTCTGTGACAATGGTAACCTTTCACAGTTTCCCTATTTTGACATTGACACTTTTGGTCCTACAACTACAACTTTCATAGCAAACAGCCAAAAAGTAAAGACAAATATCAAAAGTGTCACTACCATGCAATTTTCGACGCGATTTTAACTATGGGTCATCCGGAAACAGTCTCTCTATGCTTTAGTGTAGGGGTAAGACTGCGCACATCCGACCCCCTTACCCCACCGTAGGTGGGAGCCTTTGCAGCATTGTGGTAATGATGATGTTGATGATATCAAAAGTGTCATTACCATAATAATTAGAGAAATGAGAAACATTAAAGCATCGGTAACAAAAGTGTTTATGGTACAATAATCAGATGGATTATAAGTGAAAAAAATTAAAAGACGAGTACCAATAGTGTCATTTCTCCAAAAGTAAAAAACACAAAGTGGAAAAAACGATCATGGGAATTATGATTAGGTACTAATGTTCTATACTCTCACATAATTCTCAAAGCAGATTATGCAAACCCATTGTTTCACTAAGCAAATTTCAAGAGAGCAAACTAACTTAAGCCAATCATTAATACGTAGTATTATATTTGAAGAATCGGAACTAAGAAATTTTGAGGAGCCTTCTCTCCTCAGCATACCTGCTCCCCCTCTTCATCACAATATCCAGCCAGTGAAACTAAGTTGCGGTGATGTAACCTTGACAAAAACTCAATTTCTGTCAAGAATTCCTTTTGACCTTGTAAGGAACCTTCTTTTACTCTCTTGATGGCTACAATGGATTTGTCAGCTAAATCCCCCCTATAAACTTTCCCATATCCACCTTCACCTACTTGAGTTGAGCTATCAAAATTATGAGTCGCCAATGCCATTTGTTTAAAGCTGAAGCTCTTAACACCGCCAATTTTGATATAAGGATTTGAGACTACAAGAAGTTGAACACACGGTGATAGGAGAAGTCAACAGATATACACACACAAGAAACTAAAAGACAAAAGATCTGAAAGCTTACATAAGTTTATCCTTGAGAAGGTTCTTTCATATCTAGCACGCCGTCTTATAATTATAAAAGTGGCAATCATAGAAATTATTGCAGTAAAAATAGAAGCAGCAGCAATACAACCTATAAGCACACCCTTTCTTGTAACTTCGCCCTGAGAAGCAAACTGGACTGCAGCAGCGACAGGCACATCAATAAGGAAGATAAAAACTTCAGTTCAGAATTATGAAATCATGTGGTCAGTTTTACATGTCCCGCATTGGATGTATGTCAATTCTATATTTATTTATAAATGTGAGGTAAATCACACCTTTCAGTGATCCTTTAACGGTGTGTAAAGCCCAAATTTAGGTACGGTATTGAGTCTGTTCAAATAGGTTCTAATTTAGGGTTTACTTCTTAGTTTGCTTGGCACACATGATTTGAGGTAGCTCGGTTGAGCTTGGTTGACCCACCCTCAAACCGTTCCGCCTGATTTGGGATGACTGGGGCATGATATGTAAGTGTGAGGTAAACCTCATCTCTCAAGGACGAGAGGGTCTTTTGAGGGGAGTTGAACACAAATATAATAGAAAGAAATGATGATAGGGATGAATGAGCATGCTCTTAGATAAGTGTGCTTACGATATGAATATGGCCCAAGAAGAGTGAAGTTAAGAAGTTCATAAGGTCCAAAAAAGTCACTACCAGCAAAACGCCAATCTCCAAAAATGTCACGGATACGAAGCACCTCACTTTCATTAAATGTGTGGTTGACACCAACCACGGGGAAAAGTTTCAAATACATCCTGAGGCGAGGGCCTTCTTCCCAGCGTTGTGAATCAATGAGCAATTGATAAGGTTCAAGAAGTAGAGCACTGGTCACATACAACTCAAATTGTTCAATGTATGGACGGATGTGAGAAAAGCTAGGACTTTTCAGTCGATATCCAATTCTTATAGGCGAGGCACAAAAGCATGGGGTGGGTGATGCAGGGACATATTCATAGTAGTCAGTTGGGCAAGCTTTGACAGGGCATGCAACAGCTGGATTTGACAAAGTATTTAGATCTCCATTTTTCCCACGTTTACAAAATTGGCCAATATTTCTCACACTGGTGTTACTGCAGATGGGATTCCCTTCAAGCCTGACAACAAGTTGCCAATATTACTTGTGAGTTGTGACACAAATAAATCACAAATTTCATTATATAATTCAGGATTGGGCTGAGATATGGGCTGCTCGGGCCAATCGAAACTAAAAGATTGAACCAAATCGGTTAGCTAGTTCAACACAAAATCTTATTAACTCGTCATTATCTCTGAGTTTCCAATGTGGGATTAATTCACAATTTAGTAGGGTCACTCAATTTGTCCATAAGGTACTTGGACCAAACTATAGTCAAAGATTGAACCCTGTTTTTTGCTAGTTCAACTCAGGGAGTCAGGGTCCTATTACCCCATCATTCTTTTTATTTTTCCAATATGGAATTCTTACATTCCAAAAGAACTATTGGAACCGTATACCGATGAACTAAAAGTATATATAAGACACCTAGAAACTGATCTAGAAACCCTAGGGTGCTGAGAGGACTCATAAAGAAAAGTTTAACGGAACATATATGAGTGGACCACAGCTCCACATTGCCATATTGGCTGATTGAGAAATGTGTGCATGGCTGTCATCTTTCTTGTTTTGGTTCTGATTAAATTCCAGGTTTTTTTCCTACTTTTTTCTGCACGCACGCTTATCCACAGTTTATAGTGGGGGGGGGGGGGGGAGGAAGAACTGTACCTTAGACTAACATTGACTGGAGGATCAAGATCTCCTAAAATGTTCAAAAGTGAATTATTCTGAAGATCACTACACATCACAAAAAAACATGAATATAAGAGTTAGTGAGGTATTCCTTCACCGGGAGTCTCAAAGATCAACTTATCATTTCGGAGTATTTTAAGTGCTTACATCAAGAGCTGGAAATTAGTGCGAAAGGACTTCAATTTCCAAATGTCAGTGGAAAACGAGCCATTCAAAAAGTTGTTGTCAAGTGACCTGGAGAGAATGAAGAAATCAACTTCAAATACTTATTATTGGTTGAACAGCAGGAGAAATCTAAATTACTACCAACATGGGTATTCTAAAAGTATGAAAATCCTCACAATCTCTGGAGAGCTGGAAGGTTCGAGAAACTCTCAGGGATAGATCCATTAAGATGATTGTTTGACAAAATACTGCAAAGGAAATTGGTTGGGAATTAGGAAAAAGTGTAATCTAATAAACATGCAACAATATGAGCAAGAAAATAGATCTTTTTTCTCTTACATGTTTGTCATATTGTTAGAGAGCTTTTGCAACGGTATAGGTCCTGAGAGGTGATTCCAGCTGAGATCTCTGTAAATTAATAAGGACGTAAGAATCTAGATGATCAGAACCCAACACACATAGAATCATAAAGAAAGAAGAATAGAAGTTGAAGAAAATTAAGTAGAGAACAAAAAAGAAGCACAACGTAAAACCTACATATAGCTTAGGTTATGCACTCTGCTAAGATCAGGGATCCTCCCCTGCAAGCTACAATTCCTTAGACTCCTGTTAAATTCACACAGAAAAGGCATGAGACATTTCCTTTGGGAAATTATGGAGAGACTAAAAAGTTATAGGAATCTAAGCTCATGATGCGTATGAAACCTCATCTAATATGAGTTAAGTACATAATTGCCTATTCTGTACATATAAAAGCATAACATATATATTCGCTAAATATAAAATAAAAGAGAAACATATAATACTTGGAATACTCCTCATGCCAGATTGACTTTTAAGGATTACATCCAAATCTTAATATCTGTCAGAACCAAAACAATCCATCATTTGCAATGGAGCCAAAGATTCATTATTTTTTGGTTTGAGAATATGATGGAATAAAGCAAAAAGGCTCACTAAACTGTCTGCGCTTCTTTGTTATGAAGCAGCAGTCAGTCCATGCAATTTTGGACGCGATTTTCACTATGGGTCATCCGGAAACAGTCTCTCTGTGCTTTAGTACAGGGGTAAGACTGCGTACATCTGACCCCCCCCTTACCCCACCATAGGTGGGAGCCTTTGCGGCACTGGGGTAAATGAAAATGATGATTTAGACAAAGTGCCAAATTGGGAGTGTGTGGCCCCATATGAGAACTAATTTACAATATAGACAAAGTGTTGGACCGTACAAGACTAGTGGGTGTGCACCCCTACGAATAACATGGTCTTAACGATGTGTCTAGCATGAGTAGGCATTGAGGAATTTGTCTCACATGAGTTAAATTCAGTTAAATATAAGATTAAATACCCAATCAGGGTAGGAGAATCAGAAAAACAGAAAGCTATTGAAAGAATATTGTAGTTTAGAGCCAAAGTTTGTGGAACAATACGAGGTGCGTAAGAGGCCGACAGTTCAATACTGTTCTGACCCTCTCGCCCTGGAAGACTTTATTCTAATAAGGACCAAGCCTTATGATTAGTGCGAAGGTTCAAAATGTGAAAAAAAGGTTGTGGAATTCTTACAGCTTAACTAGGTTAGACATGTTCCCATACGAAGTTGGAATCTCAGAACCACTGAAATTATTATTATCGAGTTGACTGCACATGAAAAAACAAAGCACGATCATCTTAATAGTTAATATCATGTATATTATAAAGCAACTCATGCATGTCGTCCATACTAGCAAAGCACATCTCATGCAGCGGCAATAAAACATAAAGGCCTTGCCATTAACTGGAAAGTGGAAACAGATGATAATATCCAAAACTGTATTTTAAAGGTCAATCATCAAGTGTAAGGCAGGTCTAATAACTAGATATGCTTTCAACAATACCATAAATGTCAAAAGACAAATCACTAGAGGCTCATTTTCAGAATCTAGTGCTTTTCTAACTAGAATGATTGTATGAGGATCCATTACACTCAAATGAGCAACTCGGTTCAACTAAGAGTCAAAAAGAGCACATAAGTTTCAAGAATGATTTACTGAAATGAGTCACTAAATTGTGTGGGCATGCTAAGTCATCACAGTATCACACACTGGAAAAATATAGTGATACATTCACATAGAAGACCTTGCACTGTTCTTCCTATAAGGCTGACATTTTACGGTGAAATCACGACTTAGTAACGATATAATACCACACCGTGTGATCTAAACATATCAGATGATGAGCGCATTTGGCTGATTGTGCCATCAGACTATTACTTTTCAATATACTTGTTCAAAAGAAAAATGAAGGCATAATTGGTTGAACTTTGAACATATGAAAATTTATTTGAAATTTATATACGAGGGACTTACAGTATCCGCAACATGGGCAATTGTGATAGCTCTGGTGGAAGATATCCTGACAGGTTATTATTGTCCAAAAGCCTGTTAATAAAAAATAGAAGCAAGTATTAAATTGAGATGCCTATATGTGTGTCCGACCATCTATGTCATTTGTTTTGGAGGGGAGAGAGGGGGGAGAGAGAGATTAACTCACAAGTGAATAACAGTTGATATATTGGACAACTCTGGAGGGATTTGACCACTGAGTGAGTTGTTGTTGAAGTGGCTACAAATTTATAAGAAATAGATAGGTAAGCAATTACTTGTTTTTCAACTTGCTTTCAGCTTTTCATCTCAAAGTAGCTCTTTGTTGAGTTTCACTTACATATGCCTCATATTTTTTAGATATGAAAAGGATTTTGGTATCACTCCCGATATCTGGTTTTGGTCCATCTGAAATCTATTTAACATAGGAAGATAGCCAAGCTCATCTGGCAAAGGCCCAGATAACTGATTGCCATTTAGAAGCCTGAAAAAAATCACAAGCGTCACGTTCCACTTTGTTGAATCATAAACTGCTACTTCTATTTATATAACTATCAACTTTTAGAGACTATTACAATGCTTATATAGATAAATAATGGACCTAAACAACCCTGTAGGAATATGAAGTGTAAGCCCTAAACCTCTAATATGGATTGGAAACTATATTACTACTTCTTGAAAGACAAGTTATGATATGAAGCAGAATCTGGGCTTGGAATAAGAGGGGCAGAAGCCCCCGTGGGTTTACCGAAGGCGGGGCGGGCTTGAGCCCACCTTTGTGGGCTGGTTGCGGGCTGTTTAATTAATATTTATTATTCCTTTTATTTTGTTTCCTAATTTAATTTGTTTTCTAGTAGGATTTATTTAGGACTTCTATTCTTATTAGAATTAGAGGTTTCCTATTCCTATTTAGTTTCCTAGAATGATTTAGTTAGGAGTTCTATTAGAACTAGAGGTTTCCTATTCTATTTAGTTTCCTAGATTAATTTAATTAGGATTCTTATTCTTATTAGACCTAGAGGGTTATTTATACCCCTTGTATGCTTCATCCTTGATCATCTTGGAATAAAAGTTTGGTTTAGCCTTTTGGCTCCGGGCAACGGTATTTATTTATCGTTGATTATCTAGGCAACGGTTCACCCCGCTGATTTTACTTTTTCTGTTCTTATCAATTGGTCCGACCTGCTGGATCCCGTCCCGCCGGAATGACGAGATCTATCAGTGAACATTTGTCAGAGATGGTGGCCAAACAAATTCGGATGAATCAAACCCTAGAGGAGCACGGCGTGCGTCTGGCAGAGATCGCCGCATCCCTGGCAGCGCTTACCAAGGCGTTCGTTCCGTCAGTCACGACGGAAACAAGCCCTGACGCGGTTGGCAGCCCCACCGTATTTGTACCCAGCAGCGACGGACAGCCGCGCAGCGTCACTTCCTCCTTGACTGCGCTCACAAAGGCTCTCGCGCCGCCAGCGGCGGAGGAGAATTCATCGGCGATGGCTTCACTTGACGCGGCAGCAACATCCACGTTCGGAACTGGACTGTGCAACACTTCTCTCATGGCGCTGCCCTCGTTTGACGGAGAAGACCCGATCAGTTGGGTTGCTAGGGTTGAGCATCAAATCGAACTGAGCTGTACTCCGCTGGGAAAGAAGGTGACAGCCACTGTAGTTGTGATGGAAGGGTCAGCCGTGTACCGGTTGACCTCGTTACGGGCACGAAAGCCGGGCATGTCATGGGATGAGCTTACACAAGCATTGGTGGCTCGTTTTGACTCACGGTTTAGGGGCAATTGCTTTGAACGGCTGTCTGGAGGCAAGCAGACAGGGACTGTGGAAGAGTACATCTCAATTTTTCCTAAAGATACTGGGCAGCCACCGGGAACAAATGTCAGCCGGTTTCCGGATTCCAACCTTGAGGACAAGGTTTTTTCGAAGGGGGATGGAATTGATATGAAGCAGAATCCGGGCTTGGAATAAGAGGGGCAGAAGCCCCCGTGGGTTTACCGAAGGCGGGACGGGCTTGAGCCCACCTTTGTGGGCTGGTTGCGGGCTGTTTAATTAATATTTATTATTCCTTTTATTTTGTTTCCTAATTTAATTTGTTTTCTAGTAGGATTTATTTAGGACTTCTATTCTTATTAGAATTAGAGGTTTCCTATTTCTATTTAGTTTCCTAGAATGATTTAATTAGGAGTTCTATTAGAACTAGAGGTTTCCTATTCTATTTAGTTTCCTAGATTAATTTAATTAGGATTCCTATTCTTATTAGACCTAGAGGGTTATTTATACCCCTTGTATGCTTCATTCTTGATCATCTTGGAATAAAAGTTTGGTTTAGCCTTTTGGCTCTGGGCAACGGTATTTATTTATCGTTGATTATCTAGGCAACGGTTCACCCCGTTGATTTTACTTTTTCTGTTCTTATCAAGTTATCTCCTTAATACTCAAATTTTTAGAGCAGGGGAGAGGGGAAAGTCTGAAAAGAAAAGCATAAACAACATATAGAACTAGAGAATTCAAAATATACATGTTAGACTTACAATAGCGTCAAAGATTTGATGTTTCCTATCTCCTTTGGTATACTACCAGTTAATTGATTCCACATAAAATTTCTGCAAGACAATGGAAAAAATTAAAGCATAACTACATAAGCAATATAGATGGAAAAACATTAAAGAAACTATGCAGCTACTGGAAAAGGAAATAACTACACAATCTGTCTTAGTGGACTCACAAAATTTGAAGATGAGATAGCTGTCCAAGCTCAGGTGCTAAGCTTCCAGAGAGATTCATATTCATTAGATGGCTGCAATATTAAAGATACACCCCAAAGAGGAAATTAGTTTGGTTCTAATGATATGAAAATACATTTTGGAACAAACTAACATTCAAGATCCCTACAGTGATGCCCAAAGCCCAATGTAGTCTCACATTGGAAAATTACCCAAAATCAAACGTAGTTCCACTTTGGAAATTTACAAAAAAAAAAGATGGACTAACAAGATCTTGGGTTGAACTAGCTAATACATTGAATTTGTCTGGTTTGGTGCAAGTGCTTTATGGCCAATTGAGTGACCCAACCAAATAATGAATCTTATCATAACTGCCAAATTTAACAATAGAAGATTCAATTTAAAAAAGTAAAAGATACTTACATCTCCCTGATATGAAAATAGTCACCATCTCTAATTACATCAGAGCAAATAATACCAGTCCAGTTTGAGGTGCATGGATCACCCTTCTTCCAATCATTAAGCATCTTCATGCCATCATTTAAGCTACTCTTCACTGATATCAAAGCCGAGACTGCCAACAGACAAATTCTGGTAAATTTTCAGAAAGTACTCATTCAGATGTCAATAAACACTTGCTATGCTACCCCTATCTTATTAATAATTGCATATAAATAACCTAGATAGGTGATGTTTACAATAAAAAACAGAAGAAGATATAACCTAAAGTGTGATTCTTGAAGTAAGGTCAAAATACTCCATAAACCAATGGTGAATTTGCAATTAAATTTAAAAGACCAAGCAAGTAATATAGACTGCACTTGAAAATAGCTTGCAAAGAGAAGAAGCTCAACCTTCAGTAGGGTCAGTGACACGAGTGACTGCAAGGGTCAGCAAGCAATTAAATGTAACAACAAGTGCAAATCCACAATGTATCACTCTGGCCATCTTTAATCTCTAACAATCATTACATTTCCAACTTCAGTTAGTTGATCCATAACTATGTCAAAGATAGAAGCAATTAAACGAAGAGAGTGCAAGATATCTATGGTAAGGAAAGCTGATAAATGCTGATGAATAATAAATTGCTACTTTTATAAATATGACTTTAAACTTACAACTTCATGATTTTTAGAGACTGTTACCATGTTTGTAAAGATAGATAATGGACCTAAGACCTGAATAAATAGGAAACATAGAGCTCAAGCCTAACAGGAATATGGAACTATAATACTACTAAATCTACATTACTATTTCTATATTTGAATAAGTACATAAGAATTCTGCTAAGGTCAAACACAGTTTGATTGGGTAGTGTTTCAGATTTACATTCCCAATTCATTATAACCAATTGAACTGTTTAGCACCAAAGTTGAAACTTTTAACTTCTTTTAAGCTTGATTAAAAAGGAACTTAACAGGGAAAGTGGAAAACTAAACTCATAACCCTAGCTAAAAACGACAAAAAGAGGAGAGTTAGAAGTCCGAATAGTTATGTGGAATGAAGCATCTTATAAGGCTGGTGGCACCCCTCCTCATAGGAGGTATCTTTTGGGAGCAGGTAAACCTAGTTTATCAACATTGTATTAAGGGTTGGATAGTCCAGTAAGGTATAGTGAAAATCTGTACTATCACACATAAGGAAGTTTTGGCAAAAAGTCAGTATGGCACGAAGCCACGAAGTATATATCGAATCATATCAAAGTTTTAGTACACCGAAATTCAAGCACACTATCAATAAAATACCATTTCATACACAAATTCCGAATTTCGGAATACTTAAGTCCATATACTGAAACTTTAAACTCGCATAAGATATTGAAAGATTTCAGGTGTGGTACTACACCCTATTACAAATTTTAGTAGAATCACTATTGTCAATATAATAAGTGATGTACACCAAAATTTCGACATTTTCACCTACCTCCTAATAAAGGGTCTTCCTAGTTTGATTGTGGGCATGTGCAGATGACCAGACCAACAAACTTCAGGTCCCCAGTCCCCACGGGGCTTAAAACTGATACAAGTTTATTATCAAGAGAAAATCATTTGCTCAATAATACCCAGAACAAGATAAAAATCTTTGAAGTTCCAACCAAAATGAGTTGAAAAGGAGAAAAGCAACCAACTTTGAATCAACTAGTTTAGTACAAACATACCTGAAAGCAATAAGAGGATGAAGAAGAAGAAAATGGTGGTGATTCTTTACAGGGTGTTCGAATTATCAGCAAGAGAAATCAGTACCGGATATAAAAGATGGTGGAAAACAAAAACAAAGCAAACAAAAAACAAATGAGCTCCCAACCCCCAAGTCAATTACCAATTCAGCTCATGTGAGATGAAAGAAACACGTAGCATTTACTCATTTGGGATGATAGTGGTACGACTTTTATTCAAACACCCAATTAAAATAGAATAATCTACCCTCCAGGCACTACTTTTCTTCCCCAGTTTATAATCCATCAACATACTAATTAATTACTAAGATACAATAGATTTGAGTTAAGACACGGACATCTAGTCTAGAGAAAAAGAAAGAGGGAAAATTCTCAAAGTAAATTCTATCAAGTTTATCATTACCAAGCTTTACCAAGTTTTTTATGGCAAGACTTACTATTTTGGGAATAAAAATATCAATATTCTATTTTGGTGGAATTTTGAAACTTTTTTACTCGGCCAATTTCTAAAAAAACAAGCCAAGTAACAGTTACTCCCTATTTTTTTTAGGAAAAATGTATTTATATATGAAAAATTATTTGGACACATTTTTTATACACATTGAAGGAGTTATACACATTAATTATTTGCACAGATAAACCATTTTGCTTGTGAGCGGACTATTATATTAAGAGATGAAAAAAATAGCTATAGGTCTGTGTATTTATTACTAGTCTCTTTTCTGTTTTTTGACATTTTTCTTGTTTGACTTTAATAGTTTAATTCTGCATTTTTGTTTATATATTCGGATTCAATTTGGAGCTAGGCTACGGGTAAAAAGATGGGGGTTGGTCAATATTGGTCTAAATTTGCCTACAGTGTTCCGCAAAGTCATATTGTTCATGCTAGCCCAATTCTAAAGCTAGTGATTGAGTTGTACGAAGTATTTGTTTATATATTTATTCGTTTTTGTATTTATAGTAATAATTTAATATATATACGGAGATTTAGATCACATGGAAACTAATCTTAATTTATAAAGTGCAAACTAATCTCAACCATCCATATTTATGCGAGATGCGAAAACTCCCTCAATAATTTGTTGGTCCGTATTTAGTAATTAGAGGACAAAAATCTCCCCCACTACTACGTCTGATCATTAGTGCTCAAAATCTTTCTCTTGAGTCTGTAATATTAGATGGATGAGATGATTTTGCATTTTATACGGGAAACATACTTTATATGAGCCCGGTACACTAAAAAGACCGGTAGTCATAGTTGTTCTTCCCATCCCATATATATAGGCCATTGATTTGAGTCACATACCAACAAAAAATGTTATCATTACACTATGATGGATGTTTAAAATTGATTATTCTTTTGCTCCTTTTTCTAAAACCAGAAGTAGAGTTATAAGGATCGGGAGCCTTTGCCTTGCTTTAGAGCAAAGCAGAGTGCCTTGCTTCAGGACAGCCGTTCGATCGGCAATTCAACGGCCGTAGATCTTGGGGTCCACACTTGTGCTGATCTCAAGGCCATCCTTATTGTTGCCCGACCGTCCGATGCGCAAGACACCGTCCTAGTCGGGCAGAGGATCCCAATTCGAGTTATAATCACTTTTCAGAAATTGGTTTACTCTAACTTCTAAAAAAACTGTTTCTAGAAACATTTTGGGGTACTCAAAAGTACTTATGCAATATAATTTGACTTAAACAATTTTAAAAATTAGATCCAAACACCCTATGTCTATAACTAATCAATCACAACTATTTACGCATTGTGCATATAACAAAAATAATATAATACGGAACAAATTTTTAACATCAACTCTACTAATATGTAGTCTGTATTATATTAGTATGCATGTACTACGAATTATATTTTACATTATGTAGGCATCCTCATTCATGAGTTTATTTATGTATCATCTTGATGATGTGAAATACTTTTTTAGAGATCATGGTTGAAGAGTTGAGATTTTTTCCAATTGCTTGCTTATTCATGGGTTCACTTTTCAATTGCGTGATTATTCAAGATTATTTCTAACTTTCAATAAACGCATTTAATGTAATTATGTCTTTTAATTTGAAAAAGCTAAACTATGTCCTTGGAAATAGCAAGAAACTCCATAAAAAATGGACTAAACAGTAAATTAAATAAAGATCATGGTTGAAATGTAGTAGATTAGCTTTGATAATATTTGAGATTTTTTATGTGTGACAATTACATTGCAATGATAAATCATTATGAGAAACCGTGAACATGGGTGAAGCTAAGATCAGAAGCTCTTAACAAATACTCCCTCCGTCCCGAAAACAACTTCCCACTTTCCTTAAATGGATGTCCCAAAATTAACTTCACACTTCAATACTTTCCTTATTTGGCAAATTATCTACATAAAAAAAGTGATAAACAATGCCAAACAATGTTTAAACAGTGCCAAACAGTGTTTAAACAGTGTCAAACAGTGTTTAAATAGTGCAAAACAGTGCATTCTACAGTAAAGTCAAATTTATTTCCTAAAAGTGTGTGAAAATCCAACCGGAAAGTTGTTTTCGGGACGGAGGGAGTACAAACTATAATGTGTTAGAAGGCAATATCGTGTCCGTGTGAAGCTACCTACTACCTCCGTCACTATTCTCCGATCAGCGAAAATTGTTTTAATTTTTTACTTTATATATTTAACTTTTATTAAATTTAGTTTTTTTACGATTTTATAAACTTTTAATTAAGTTTCTAAATATGTAAATTTTATTATTTTTACTAAGAGTAATTTTATTAATGACGGGAATCAGTTAATTTTACAGCCAGTCAAACATTATAAATCGTGTGAGAACTATTAACTGGGACAAATGAAGCATATACTATCGTAGTTAGTTGGCACCATGCATCATGCAGGTTGTCATCACATAAATAAACTTTGCTCTGTGTATTAAAAAAAATAAAGAATTTGTATTTGTAAATTCCAATATTAAACTACTATATTTTAATTCCATAAATAGGAATAATCGCATTGGGGAATAAAATTAGCGTCCCATCTTATTTTCAACTAACTCTCCCATATGGGAAGTCTCGAGTTCAAAGCTTCATGAGAGTTTCAAACCTTTTATTCCAAGCTCCCCTCAACCCCTCCCTCTGACCCCCCTAGCTCCCCCACCCTCCTCCCCTATGTTGCCCCCCTAGGGTAAAAAAAAAAATATTCCGTAATATGCAAGGAAAAATATAGTATTTCTATTTTGGATTTTCAAAACGTTTTAACTCTTATTTCCGAGATATGGAGTTAGAAACCTAAATTAAAGCCAATAAAACCCTGAAGGCTTCCCATATTAATTAGGTTTGGTCCACGGTAGGGTTGTATACGAATCAAATAATTTACGCTCGATTCGGGATTCGAATTCATATAAGATGATTAAATTCGAAAAATTCAAATACAAATACAAATAAGAATACTAAAATTGATTCGAATTGTTATCAAATACAAATAGAAATATCAGTATATTCGATTCGTATATTAATCAAATATATTCGATTAATAATAGTGATAATATTAATAATAATAGTAGTAATAACACTACAATAACTTTTAAAAACCAGCTATATCCTCAAAGTGTAGCCCATATATATACATTTACGTATACACATTCCAAGTCTATTTGTCATAAATAAGAAGTATCATAAGGAGAAAAGGTTGCAAAGGAAACAAATAATTTTATTTTACACATTAATGTTAGTGTTTATTTCAAACTTAGCTTTGAAATATATTTATTTATAGTAATTATAAAACTGATTCGCTTCAGTCCACATTATTATAAGTGTTTTAAAGTGATATTTGACTAAAATTTAACTTATGATCAATTGATTCGATATTCGTTTATGATTCGTTAAGTATTCGTATTGTTAAACAAATACAAATACAAATCGAAAATAATATTCGTTTCATATTTGAATTCGGATTCGTATTCGGAAAAATTAAACAAATACAAATACAAAATCACATTATTCGAGCCGATTAGATTCGTATACAACCCTAGTCCACGGTGTATTCATACGATAAACAAAAGAGGGGAATCTGAAAAAATGGAAGGCAATTAAGGAGGTTACATATTGTCCGTAGAAACCTTGCCTTTGCCTACGACGTAATCAATCGTATGTCATTGCCGGCGAAGGAGAAGGCAAAAACATGGCATTGACAAATTTATATTGAGGAGTCAAAGCATCATATTTCACTATTTTTATATATTTTAATCAAATATATATAATAGATACTCATGTATGCGTTTAAAACATTACTTAAACCAATAATGGAGCATAATTTAGACCGTACCGGACCTGAATAAAAAAATCGGATGAATATTTTTTATACAAAAAAAATACGTAGCATAAATTTTTATAGAGATATTACCCGAAATAGGATTAAAAAAGTAAGAAAATTCCAAAAAAGGACTGTCATGTTTTTATTCACAAAATAGGACTAATTGCTGTCATGTTTTGGCAGTACCAGACTTCAAACATGACAGTATTTTCCAAACTTGGCAGAAATTACTCCTATTTTGGGAATAAAAAACATGGCAGTCCTATTTTGAAATTTTCAAACTGTTAATCCTATTTCGCGAACTTGAGATGGGTCTCGTCAAACACGGGGGCATACAATGATTATACTACGGGAGTATATTTGGACAATAGTATTGTGGTAAGCTAAGGATGTTTTCTTTTGGACTGAAATTTGCTGGTCTGGTCTGGTCTGGTCTGTTTAAGTCTGGTCTGGTCTGGTCTGTTTAAGTCTGGTCTGGTCTGGTCTGAACTGGTCTGGTCTGGTCTGGTAAACGTCTGGTCTCTGTGTATTTTATAACTACGGAAGTCTGGTCTGGTCTGGTCTGTTTAAGTCTGGTCTGGTCTGGTCTGGTCTGGTCTGTTTAAGTCTGGTCTGGTCTGTTTAAGTCTGGTCTAGTCTGGTCTGGGACTGAAAACAGTCCAAAAGAAAACATCCTAAATGTGAATAACAGGAAAACTTAGACACACAAATCAAATTTAAAGAAAACATTAGGTTTCGATGAACTTTAATCACTAACCGGATCCACCATCGAGCTAGGTGAAGCCTGGCCTAAACTGGTCAAAATTTTAAAGAAACATACTATCCTTCGTTTTTTAATGGCAACATGTCGAATTTTATATTATTCACATGTTCTACGTTAACTACATTTTACGTTATTATTTTATGATAATTATTTTTAAAAAAAATTATTGTTCAATTCATCTCATTACAAATTTTCAAATTCCGACTTTCAAATTTTTTT